GTCAAATATCTTGGGGAACATACCTATCAATTTGATTGAGAAGGTGAGGCGGTGCTGTCTGCAGAAGGATCATGCCAGTATAAGTTGAGAGAGGCCACATTGTTGAAAATACAGCTACCGACAGTAAAAGACAGCAGACTGGATCTGCCCAGGGGAAATCATGCCTGCGGAACATGAAATTTATTTGAGTTTACGAAAAATCAAAATGAAACTCTTTTACCTGAAGTGTTCACAGAGAACTAGCATTGTACTTGTCACTGCGGCTAGTAGTACCATTGAATTAATTCGTGGTAGTAAAAGACGTGACAAGCCGGGAATAGCCCAACAGATGGCATGGCAAATATCCGCAGCATGCTCCTTCAAATTGAACTGGTATCAGCCCAGACTTAGCACAATGTCAACCCTTGATTATATCAGTACAGTAACAGAAAACGGGGCCAGTACAGTTGGAGGGGATGCATGCTGGTGTGTGCCTTCCCCGTTTATATAGTGAACTCTTCCCCAACAAGCTCAGCCTCAGAATGGCTAGTCTCGCTAAGGGCCATTCTAAAAATGAAGGGCCAATAGACCCTTATCGAATCAAAGTAAATGACATCTCCGCACTGCTTTTTTTTCTGAGAAACAGCTCGCTGACCAAACGTTCAATATTACCTGTAAGCTGGAGCTACTCGATGCCGTCAGAACATGCTGGAATGGCTGATTCTTCAAAGCATAAGCAGAAAGTAGAAGAGCTATCGAAGATGCTACAGCTCCCACAAAGTATGGCCAGCTTCCTGAAAAAAAATCAGCTTTTGAAATATCTACTTGAAGTCTTTGGATTTTTTGGATTTAATTAACACTCAAAACTATCACTGCACAAAAGCGAAAAACAAGGTTGAAGTAGCCTAGCCCTATCTCTCTGGGTCCAAGCACTCGTTTGGGCTTAACTGAAGAAATGCAGAAGCGGAGGAAACCCGACCAAACGTATATCGAGCCATAAAAGTGTATCAGGAAACCAGGACCATACAATTTGCACGCGCGACGTTATCCAAGAAGAACCTGTGCAGGAAAAGTGGATTCAAATCGGTGCTGATGCGGTTCAGAGGGTCAAACATCGCCCAGTCTAGAATCAACTCAAAAGTTATCACAAGAATGCTGAGTTGTGGGCAAA